GACCTATGTGTGACATTGCGAGGATCTCTCTCAACACCTGGATCTCTCTATCTTTTTCACAAAGCTGTTCTTGTAAAGCTTCTACAGTTTGTTCCTCTGTTTCGTCTTGGCTTGAGTCTTCCTCAGTCTGGTCAGCATTGCCATTAAATGGAGGGGCAGCTGTGTCTTCACCGCTCTTATAAACAATATACAACAGCATCATTAATATAACATGCAGACTGATAATTACTAATTACTAACACAGTATGTGTGTGCTACAAGGCTGTAGTAAGTAAGGGTTGCTGCAGCACCCCCTGTTGGATTGCAGAGGATTAGCATGGCCACAACTACTTACTATAAAGACTGAATACGAAATAGCATTTAGTTTTCTTATCTTATTCTGCTATATAAACTCTTTTTAGGTCAGTCATGGTTTGCCTTTTGTCCTCTCTCTGTGCTTTCTCCCCTTCCCTCGTCCCCCACTGGTTGCAGTGATGCCTGCCCCTCCTTAAGCCTACTTATGTGGCACGTGACTGAACACCACCTAAAACTTGATTTATAGTAATGTAATAAACTACATGTTGCTGCTACACAAACCTCAACACCTGTCTAAAGTCCATCTGGCAGTATTATGCTGTTTAATCACAGCCTTTTGGTTAGAAGGAGCTGAATACTGCTGTAATAATCCTCAGTATCTATTTTGCTAAAATAATTGCTATTATTCCTCTTCTGAAGGAAGAATAATATTAAACACTCAACAAAAACCATAAGAAGCTACTAATACATGATTTAGCACATACAGCCACTTACCGCCATCTTGATGCTTTCCTCTTTTGAGATTTATTCTGAAAGAGAATAATCATGTTAGGAGGACAGATTCTCTGTATCTATGAAGCGCCTTGAGGTGACTTTTGTTGTGATTTGGCGCTATATAAATAAAATTGAATTGAATTGAATTGACAGCTGGAGATACTCTCTCGTACTAACACAACACAAGTATAAAATATGCAGGAGGAGTTATGTTATAGTACAAAAAAATCCTCCTCTTCAGACTCAATTAGCACATTTCTGATCAAATTTCGGCCCTTTTAGAAACAGATAGACTGTTGACTAGACTGGGGAACCCACCCCACTTATGTTATTAGTCATTTCGATTTAATGTTAGCTCACTTTACCTTCCTGACATAGACAGATGTGGAATAATAGAGAATAAGGTTCAACTTGACACACAGTAACACAAAAAACAAGTCATACTTTCTGTTAAATGAAAAAAAAAAAAGGGCTGACAACATTTTTAAAGTGAAAGTAACTCAAAGAAAAATATAGCTGGAGGGTTTTTTTCTGCGCTGGAGCAAACATTTTTGTTCTATTTTTAGATAACATTTTTGAAGACATTTAGATTCTACACCATCCATTCATTAAAAAAGAAAGAACATGAGCGTCTTACCACGGCTTTACTTGAAGAGATCAGACAGGACAAGGCAACCTCAGCTGACACCGCTTGACTGACTTTCAGGTAGTGGTGGTGGATTATTTTACCATTTATCGGCTGATGGCGTGGCTCTGACTTGTTTTGCAGGTTCTTTTGTACTTACCCAAGAATATTTCGTGCGCACATCTTCAACAAGTTTTTCAGCATACCAACAATAGTTATAGTGAACAAATGCATAAAAATGAAACTGAATGTGCTTTACAGTCACACAAAGCAAGAACTGAACTAAAAATTGCCTATGGTGGTGACCAGTACATGCCCATGCTACAGTATTGTTTGGCCTGTGATTCCAGTTTATTGCTAGGCAACACGATGATGTCATAATATATAAGACATACAGAAATAAAATTGTCCAGAAAATTGGTCAGTTTAGCAGGCAGATTGCTAAGCAACATGATGACGATTTATAAATAATCTGGTTTATAGTGCTCTGCTTTCATTTACATTTGACAAATACTGAAGGTCAAAAGGTTTCTTTTAATGCATGTTATATGTTGATACTTTCTTTAGTCTCAAGTTTACTATTGGCAGAAAATCACTTAGTACAAGATTCCTTTACGCCTCTTCTAATTAGCACCTTGGGCAACAACAACCTACATTTGTTTTAACATGTGACAAGGTATAAATAAATAACATTACATGAACCTGACCTAAAGTAAAGCAGATCCAGTGTAGCAGGTTTCACAGCTACACTCACAGCAAAGAAATGAACCACATCCTTATTACCGTAACACCAGTGAATTTCCAGTAAATGTCTATTGAATACTTACAAAATATTTAAAGACCAATCCCTTAATAAAATGTATTTTAGTTGTAAGATAAAATAAGATGGCCTTTGTTAGACCCAAAGTTGGGAAATTCACATTATTAGAGCAGCAGAGCGGAAAGAGCACGAATAAATAGACAAAGGATAATATAAGAACTATCATAATTACACATAAGCAACAGAGGAAAACACTCCAGTAAAGTGCCATTCTTCTTTTGTTTTACACTTTCTTATCATCTGTCCTGAGACTCTGCTTTTTTGCAGGTACATTTATTGTAAAAACCAAAAAAAAGTGATATTTTGTTTTGCAGCCCCTCAGTGGGGTTAATTCTGGGAAAGGGAGTCCAGTTCTATTTGGAAAGGTTATAATGTAACATCGAGGCAATGATTGATGTCCACTTTGCTAAGAAAGTGTTTGAGGGGGGAACTGATTGACCCACCACATAAAGAAAAGCTAAGAGTGGTCAAGGGAAAATATTGCAGAATTTTGAATCTCGAGAGTTCACCTGAAACCTTGGCTGATTGTGACCTACACCCGTTTTCACACCTTGTCTCGTGTGATTAGGATCATTAAGGGATCCTTTGTCCCTCTTGGGGGGACACTCCCATAGGCCTTAAATCTAGGACTTTCCACTATTTGATCCTGGAACTGAAGAAGGTTCTTGAATGAGAGGTGAAACGTCTTCAAGCAACTTAAAGAAGTCCAGACACTTTTCTTTCCAAGCTCCTTAGACTATGATGACCTGGATGACTGAGAACCTTCACAGACATATTGTGGAATCTATTCATCTGGACCTGCAGGTTGGTTAAACCTGCAGGTCCAGATGAGACTGAAGTCACCTGGATGTCTGACGAATCGTTTACCCAATACAAATTATTTTACTTATGCAAATTCAGACATTAGAACAGTGGTTTTCATTACTCTAACTCATTTCTTATTTCCCATATTCACCAAACTTATAGTTTGACTTTTCTTTGATTAAAAATAAAGATGATTTACAACTAACAGGAAAATTTCTGTTTTAGCACTCTGATCATTTTTACCACATAAGGATGGATGTTAAGACCATCAGATGTGATGTCAGGAGGAAGCCGGGGGGCTTTAATCTCTTTGTCTCACTGCTTTCAACACTTTTGAAAAAGTAGTAAACATAGGAAAGTTTGCACTGTCACCTTTTCTCTGTCTACTTCTATTTCATCAGTGAGACAGCAAATTTTAAAAGGAGACTTACTAAGCCCACTTTTAGCGTCATTCCTTCAGCACTTTGGTGGTGTATAGGTTCAAGTGAAACCTAAATATATATTTAAAAAAATTAATTTACAATGTTTTCGTGCTTTCTCTTTTAGTATTATGTAACAATATAAAGGCACAGAGGGCAGTGAAATAGCTTTGATTTCTTACAATGAGAACATTTTTTTTTAGTGAATATCCAAAAGCATTAAGTCCTTTCATTAACCACAGACGATCCAAGATCAAAGAAAAGAGAATAGATTGGTCAGTAGGTACTGCTTAGATCTGGGGTTTAAGTTTTGATGGCAATGAACCCCAAAAAGATCTGATTTTATTCTCCAAAAGTTTTTTCCTGGACGATTGAGAATGCATCAAGACATCAGATTTTATTGTTTTATAATGAGAGTTGTTGCTTGTAGTGTGGAGAAATGGTCACTAGGGGGAGCCGGTGGTGTATTGTTTAAAGCCAGAGGAGGCGTTCATTCCAGCAACAACCTCAGAAGAAAACATGAAAGTGTCACTGCTGTTTTTATAGTCTGAATCACTTATTTTATCCTTTTCCTTATTTAGAGGCCAAATTTCTATTTTAAGATAAAGCCCAAATATGGTGAATATGGTAAATGAGGAATCGCTGTAATTCACATCCAGGGAAGCGCTGAATTAACTGGGCAAAATGTCTTTATTTAAATAGCATGATATCTGAAAAATGCCTAAAATATTAGTTTGGTCATCTGTATTGCCATGCTTTGTTACTTCCATGCTTCTGTTTCAAACTAAATCCAAGCAAACATCTTGTATGTAGATGTTACATTTGAAATATTATGTTTAGAAATACTGAAAATCAAGGCTTCTCCAGCTTTAAATGTGGTCTGATAGTCATGGTTCACTGAAGACCATAAAAACTGCAGACAAAAATGAAGATTTTAATTTTTGAAACCATGTAAAGCAGAGATAAAGCAACACCTTTTTGGCTGGAGTGGAGTTTCTTGCTAAATTATAGTGCTCAAACTTTTTTTTTAATAACTTCACACAGACAAACAAAATACTGTCTGCACATTTAGGGCATACTAACCAAAAAAAAAAAAGACAATATAAAACAATTAATTGAAAAACTGAAAAGAATACATTCTTGTGATGATCTTCTATTAAAAGTGGCAAAAGACCCGTATCCCTAAAGATTCTGAGAATCCTCTCAGAGAGCTCCTAACTTAACCTAAAAATTCCTTGCCAGGAGTTTTAGCTTCGAAGTGATT